ACTGAGATTGCCCAATAAAATCTACTGCACCTCCCCAGGACAAGCAAATCACCCCTTTCTGCTTCCGTGAGCTTCAGCTTGCTATAACATCTTATTCGTACTGCATTGCCTCTGTAAGCTCATTGATTTCAGAGTTCCAAATGCATACCTACAGTACAAATGCTGTCGGTTACAATTGCTTTCTGTGTATTGAATTGTTTCTCTGCAGCTGCTGGACAGTGAATCTGGTGTCATCCTAATTTTATTATAATCAAAACCAAATAAAAAATCACATCAAATGTATACCACTGAAAGTCACACATTTTCATTAGGACTTGATCATGTTGGAAAAAAGGAATTACAAGGGAAATTTTAAGATTTTTTTCTATTTTCTTTTCATAAAACAATTATATTTGAATTAATTAATTGGGTTAATTGATAAACATGGCTAAATTATGATCACAGTGAAACTTTAATCAAGATAATATCTGATAAATAACTTTTTGAAGAGTGAAAAGCCTTTATTGTATCTGATTTTTCTTCTTCTTTGTGCTCTTATTTTGAAATATTTCTTTTATAGCCTACAACAGTTCTGTCTGGTTCTTGAATCTGATTGGCTGATAACCGTGCTTTATTCTGCCAGTAACAGCATTCGTCCAGCCTCTTAACCCTTCACCCTTGTGTATTACTCCGCCCACATACAGAGACAAGCAGAGGACCCTCTGTCTACAGTTTGACAAATATTACTGCAGTTGGGCAACATAATATCCTTTTGAGGCTTTTTTTAGTCGAGAATGTAGTTTACATTGCAACTGTGCAGTTTATTTATGCGTATAGTGCCTATTTTAAATAATTATAATCTCGGAGCATTGGATTCAATTCCTCAGCTGCCATCAGCCTTCCTGAGCAGACCAAAGAAAGTGACGGTTGACCTTCTGCCACAAGATGGCGACAGAGACAGCATAAGTCCTTAGGGGAGATTAACAGCATTTTCTCAGAATAAATTTCAAACTACAGCTACACAAATCATTAAAAATCAGGTAAGTGACATTCTGAGTCGATCCCTCTCTTTTGTATTTTGTATTTCTTGTTTTAATACCAAAGAAACTGGTTGTGTTTGCTTTGCACTGGCTTTTTTCATGGTTAATTATTAAGAAATCCAGATTGAAACAGAAATACTGGGAAATCTTTGTAGATTGATGGCATGTCATGCCTTATCTTAAAATGTGAGCAAAATCACCTGATTTTTCACCACTTTAGACCTTTTGCTAGAGAATTGTGAATGAGTGGCGGAAGAAAGTAGTTCCTCAAACAGAGGGGTTTCGAGGCTCTCCGGGTTTGATTTTTCTTGTTTATATACACGTTTATGCTGACGAGCTGTTTTATAAATGCAATGTCACATTCGTAGCAGTGCAATATGGCTGTATATCAGCACTGGTGGAACACTAAGGTGCTTAGCCTGCGGCCTCGAGCCAACACACACCTCCCACCAGAGCTGATATACCAGCCTGATCTTCGGATGAAACGTAAGTATTTTACGTTTTGACAGAGGCGTGGCACCTAACCCCACCCCTAAACGCAACCGTCATTGGTGGATGAGCAAGTCTTACTAAATTGTACAAATTACATTATCCAAATTCACACAAATTAGCAACTTAATCAAAAAGTTACGAATTGCCGTGAGATTGTGTTGGATATACAGCCATATTGCCCTGCTACTAGTGTGATATTGCTCATTTAGTGCCCTTTGAACTCTTAACTGTGCCTGGTTGCAAGCTGTCTTGCGTGCGAGATTAGCCAATAACGGTTACAACCATCTAGTAATCTAATCAACAACTTACACCCAACGTTGTTCAAAAAGCTAAATCTAATTTAGTTAAAAGTTAAATTTAAATATAAATTATAATTTTAAACATATGACACAATATAAGGAAAAACAATTCGTTTGTCAAAATAATGTCTAATTAATGTGAATTTATTTAATCTCACCTATTTTTTTTGTATGATATTTCCCAGTGATTTTTAAATAATCTTTTTACATTTAGTTTTGATGCACTTTCAGTTTATGCCTTACACCCACATAATTTATGATGCAATTTCTAATCCTGTACAGATTTATTTTGGGATTCATTTTCTGTCAATCAATAAATCAATCCATCTATTTATTTCTTAATTTAAAAAATATTAATCAATAAGTACTTTTTTATATAAATGAATAGGTTTTTGATTTTCAGCTGTCAATCTGTTTGTCATGGAACGAAGGGTTAATTGCATTTTTGGACAGATGAGGCTAAAGGAGATTCCATTTGCATGAGTGTGAACAGCACTACAGTTATTTTCACTAGAATATGGATAGCTTTCAATGCAACCTCAAAAATTCCAGTTAATAAGGAGCATTCAGGACTCTATCTCAACACAAAGGCACCACAAAGTGCGCTGAGTCAGATCTCACAGGTCCGGCTTCTGATGGAGCCACAGCAGGGAGCATTCCACACAGTAAATGTATACAGGATTTTGATATTTACAAGAAACTGGAGGCCATTTGTATGCTGCCTTTCCACTGATGAGAATTTAATGCTTTAATTTGTGTTTCTCCAGTAATGCATGTCCCACTGAAACACTTAGAAAGTTGTAACGAGCAATGCTTCAAAATTCACTTAAGGCTGAATTTGACAGTGTCTTATTAAATTTACTGAAATGATGTGTTTAAAAGCCGCTCTCCTGTGACTGTGCTGGAAAGTCTCATTTGTATCCTGCTGAGGTAATACTCTTTCAGAACGAGAGGATATAAAGTGAATACAAAAGCACTCATCTTTGATTAGAAAAGGAGGGCTACACGCTAACAAGAGGAACAAGGAAAAAATGCTGCCCTACTATTAAAAAACAAAGGATCTAGCTAAACAGTTTCTTTCTAGTCATATGAGGGAAGCACTCTGTTGTACGTCATCATTAAATACAGATAAATAGTACCACACCCTATACAGTATGTAGGAAATCATTCATTGTTGTTGTTCTATGCTTTGGGAGCATGTTTTTGTTTTAATAACCTAAAGCTTCTAAAATTTCATTCGATATTAGGCTCACTTTTAAGGAACAGTTTGCACTGCATTCATGCATCCTAATTAACTGTGTTGCTCTGCGGTCCCCAGAGTTTCTACTGTGGCCGTTCTTCATGTGCGGTGGAGGTAGTCTGCACCAATTTTCTGGCGAATGGCTCCCCAGCACACAGTCAGGTCCGTTTACTGCGAGCATATGCAGGGCTGTAAATCACACCTGTCAGTGGATCTGTGCTCTGCTCTCTCAATGCAGCTCCTGCGCTTTTGCATCTGATTTGCAAGAGTATGGCAAGCCATTTTAGCAATTACTTTCACTAGTATCAATTTCAAACCAACCTAATGCTTTTAAAACTAACTTGTATTTATTTTATTTTATTTTAGTACATTAATTGATGAATGGAAGCTTTTAATTGATTGTTTAAAATCAACCTATTTGAAACTAATATTATTGATAATTATCTTCTCTTGTGTGTGTGTGTGTGTGTGTGTGTGTGTGTGTGTGTGTGTGTGTGTGTGTGTGTGTGTGTGTGTGTGTGTGTATATATATATATATATATATATATATATATAATAGGATTTTTAAAAATGGAATGAAGTACTACTAATAAAGTTGACTATAATGTCAGTTTATACAAGAAAACTGAGGGGAATTTAGCAAATAATATTATGAAATAAAAATCTAGTCAGTAATGAATAAATGGCTTTTTTTAAATGAATACAAAACCTATTCGGAAAAAAAAATAATTAATTGTAAAAGTATTTTATTAGATCTGGATTTTATGAATTCATACATTTGAATTCTACAAAAATAAGAGAATAAAAAAGTATGCACAAGTTGCGAAAACCCCTGCACCCTGATCTCAGCAAAACATTGTTATTTAATGAGGTGGTAATTTATTATGAATTTGTTTTATTTTAATCAAACAAAAAAATGTCAGATTTGTAGAAAAAGTAAGGCATGAATGTTCAGACCAACCAGATCTAAGATTTGAACCCGCCCCATGATGTCCCCGCCCCTAAACCAGCTCCTAAACGTCACTTGGGAGTGAACAGGTTATATAAAAACATACGCTTATTTATTAATGATCATATACAATACGACGTTTCTATTAATTTAAAAGAAATAATTTTTGCTTGTTATGAATCTGCCTCTCCTAAAAGAACTGCTTGTCTTGTTATAAATTTAATTTATTTTATTTCTAAATTCATATTAAGAAATGCAAATTTACTAATACCTAAACATACCTGTTTTTTTTTTTTTTGCAAGAATTTAGTCATTATTTACATTTAATTTCATCATCTGAAAACAAGAAAACAAACAAAACTATTTCATTTTGTAATAATTTTAATTTATATACTGTAATTGGTTCTTAAATGTCTTACCATAAAGTTTATATCATGTTCTTAATTATTTTATCTTTCTTTCTTTCTTTCTTTCTTGTATGTTTTTTTCACTGACAATGTAATTCATATTCTGTATTGTAAACAAATGTTGCTAGAAACTTGTAATAATAAAAAAAACTTAGGAATGTCATACAATAAATTCAAAAGAATTAGTTGCTCATAAACAATCTAATAAGAAATTCTAAAATAATTACACATTTTTATTAAATTGTGCTGCAAACAAAATGTAAAAAAAAAAAAAAGATTATCAGTGAGCCTAAAAAGATACTGGTAACTAAAGCTTTAGTTAGCTGTTAAATTAACTTGTGTTAGTTTTAGTAGTCACATTAGTTCAATGCAAACCCGCTTGCCATACAATGGACGCGTATTTTGAAGCAGAATTTTGTTTTATGTCAGTCCAAGTATAGGCTACTTTTATCTTGATGTCCAGTTATAGCCTATGCAATGTGTGAAATGCGTGACTGTTGCTCTAAATAATAAAGTATACTTAGGCTATCCCCATTCTTGAATTGTTATTTGAAATTGGATGGAAGTGTAACTTATTGACCATTGCCTACTCACCATAATTGAATAGACCAGTGCAACGATGCTTATTGGCCACACGGGACAAAAGCAGGAAAAAATGACCAGTATGAGGTAGTCTTTGGGTTTTTGCTGCTCTTGGACGGCATTACCGGTGGATGAAGTGCGGCTGAGGCTCACTCTAGACGGAGAGAGAGGAGCCGCGCCGAGATGCCCCGCCGAACCGGACCTCAGCGGCAGACTGTGGCCATTCTGGTCCCCGTCGAGAGTCTTGTCGCCCCCGACACTGACGGTGAAGGAGCTAGAGGTCTTCACCCCGGTGGGCTCGGTGGTCACGAGCAGTTTCTCCGTCTCGGCTGGTTGCGTGCCGCCACTCTCCCCCAGATTTGATTTACCAAACTCCGTATCTGTGTTTACTGCCATTGTGGAAATCCAACGTTGTTATTGTCTTTGAAAGAAAAACTCCTGTTGGGGCTTACAAAATGTTATCAAAGTAGTCGGACGGCGTTAGTTTCCCATTATTTACAATTTCTTCAACTCAAAATTACCCGTTTTAATTTATTCATACGGTTAATAGCTCGAATTAAAGATATCGATGTAGTTGTTGTTGTTGTTTTTCTAGTCTAAACTAATTAAACAAGTCAAAGATGCGCTGTAGTGTTATTCTCCCATGTATGTCCATCCTCTGTGTGATCGGCTTAATGGATTCAGTTCCGCTCAGTTCAGTCCCAGATCGGAAGATCGTCTCCTCTGCCCACACACATCAACTAAACCACAGAAATGAGAGGCATTTCCACAGCAGCATCACTTAAACGTAGCAAAATGCGTTGAAAAAAAGATACAAATGTTCTCGTGCAAAAATGAAAGAGCGGCAGCTTTGGGCTGTTACGTGTTGTTGCAGCAGGTGAAAGTATAGTTGCGCAGCAGTGAGTTGCGTTGTTCCTCTCTCACCTCCTCTCCTCTGCATCAGTGATGGAGCTCCTGCAGGACTTCCCACGTAATGCTCTTCCCCTGGGGATGCTGCAATACCTCCTTGTGTCTCTGTGAGCTTTTTAACAGCATTTACCACTAGCTAAACACTGGTTAAGGAATCAAGTGGTTAAATCGTGGATTAAGAATATTTTAAAAATGCGCACCTTCTGATTTACTTTTTTCATATTAATGCACAAGCACAACACGCTTAAGTCATTAGCCAAATTAGGGGAAGATGCTTGGATAATCTATGCGCAGTTCCTCATTCAATCATAACTTAATCAGTCTTTTACAGCAGTGTTGTTCATTGGGTGATGACAAGCTTTACGTGAGGAGCATATGAATGTGATGGAAAAAATAAGGGTAGAGAGACACAAGGGAATCCCCTTAAAACAATATCATATGATGTAATAACATTGATCCAGCCTGTCCCTCAACAGATTACAAGTTTTTTCATGAACCTCAGTGTGTTAGTCATTTCAGTGCTTACGCATAGCCAAGCAGTTTCCCAGATTAGGGGTCGATGACAATTATTGTTTTATATATTATTTTATATTTATTTAAAATTATCTTTAAAGGTAATCCTGCGTCATTCTAACCCAGGGTAAATGTTTGCTGGTTATCATATTGCTTCACATTTCTCACTCTTCTATAGGTGGGGTTAGTTAAAACTGGTCCTAAACCATGATGTCATTACCATACTTATCTGCGTATTTGTGGTGTCGGTGTCATTGACTGGACAAATTCAGCATGTAACTTGCATTTTGTTATAAATAGACATTCCTAATACTAAATAAAAATATATAATAGTATTATATATAATAGTAGTAAAACAGTTGTAAAATGTAATGTAAAATGTTTTTTATTTTTATTTTGTAAAATTGATTTTTGCAAATGTAGACGTATTTATACAGAAGTAATGTGAACAATGAATGTACATCATTCAGCACAGAGATTAAGAATGGATGTCCAAGTCGAATATCACATGTCAATTTGGTATTATTGGTACCACAAATATGGTATTTATTCATTAATTCATTTTCTTTTCGGCTTAGTCCCTTTATTAATCTGGGGTAGCCACAGCGGAATGAACTGCCAACTTATCCAGCATATGTTTTACGCAGCGATTGCAACCCATCACTGGGAAACACCCATACACTCTCACTAAGTCATACACTATGGGCAATTTTAGCATATACCCAATTCGGCTGTACCGCATGTCTTCGGACTTGTGGGGGAAACCGGAGCACCCAGAGGAAACCCACGCGAATGCAGGGAGAACACGCACACTCCACACAGACAAATATGGTATTAACTTTCATATTCATTCATTCATTTATTTTACTTCGCCTTAGTCCCTTTATTCACCAGAGTTCGCCATAGCGAATGAACCGCCAACTTATCCATCATATGTTTCAAACAGTGGTTGCCCTGAAATTTAAGTATGCATAACAGTATAGTTCATTATATAATATAGTTTATTATTGCATCACTCTTGAAAAAATCTGTAATGCTTAAGATTCATTGATTGTCGGTGAGTTTCCTGGAGTCATTTGATCTGAGTATTCAGTGTCTTGTTCTTCTTGTTCTGAACACATTGGCTCTGGGTTTTTGTGCTTTTAATATGCACATTTAAGGTACGACTGTGAACTGTTTGGGTATAAACGTATCTTTTGAAAAGGTACCGCCCAGTGACAGCTCCTGTACCTTTATTTCTGAGAGTGTAGTCAAGATTACTCAAGATTTGATGTGTTGTTGTGTAATCATAACAGTAACTTAATTCATTCATTTTCTTGTCGGCTTAGTCCCTTTATTAATCTGGGGTCACCACAGCGGAATGAACCACCAACTTATCCAGCAGGTTTTTACGCAGTGGATGCCCTTCCAGCTGCAACCCATCTCTAGGAAACATTCACACACACTCATACACCACGGACAATTTAACTTATCCAATTTACCTGTACCACATGTCTTTGGACTGTGGGGAAAATGGAGCACCCGGAGGAAAACCACGTGAACGCAGGGAGAACATGCAAACATAAACGCCAACTGACCCAGCCGATGCTCCAACCATTGACCTTTTTGCTGTGAGGCGACAGCACTACATACGTCAGGCCACTGCGTCGCTTCACACCAGTAACTTAAAAGTACAGTCTTACATGAAATGGTTGTGTCACCTTCAAAAAGTGCTCTTGAGAAATTTTGTACTAAGTCTCCCCCATCCCAAAGAGATTAATCATTTTTCTTTCAGTAGGATGGTAGCGTTGCCTTTCCTGTGGCTGTTGGCAACCACATACTGTAGTTCACCACACTGGACTGTGTGGAAAAACCCAAGGTTAAACATGGCATTTAGGGTTGAGCAGTGTAGAAAAAGAAGCCTTAGCATATTTTGAGCACCGTGATAAACCCCACTGCTTAGCCCAAAGGGTACGTAAAGGTTTTTTTGAACAAAAAACAACCTGATGTATTTGAAAGCCAGTGTAATATTATGTTGTGTCAGCTATTTCTGCAGAATAAGGCATCATTTATTAGTTTTCCGTGCAATAGCAATATTACAGTAATGGTTGAGAATCAAGATATCAAGGAGAGCTCTATTAATTAAATACATTTGAATAGTCGGTTAAATATTTGAATGGCTTAAACAAGATTAATTATTCATATTATATAACATAATATTGAATATATGAATTACTAGACTGTTTGCTATGCCAGTGAATAAATACTGGGACATGTAAGGAGTTATCATAGAGTTTTGAAACAACATGCTAATGAATTATAAGCCACCAGGACAGCAGATGAGTCAGTGCTTTTTTATTGGCTGATTAACAAAACTACAGTCACTACGGTACATTCAGTCTCACAATATAAACAGCAAAAGCAGAAGAAAAGCGCCTTACAGACTTCCATTGGATGCTACAGGATCAATACACTGTAAAAAACTAATCTTGCTGACTGAACTTTTTGAGTTGAGTTAAATTAACTTTGAGTCATCTCAACTGTTTGACATCAATCAAACTGACTAGAAATATGAAGTTAAAGATAGTGTAACAAAGAACTGGAGCTTAATTAGCTTGTTAAAATAAGTTAAAGCAACATAAATATTTGTTGAGTTGACTTTTTATCATTTTATCCCTTTAAGTGTTGCTTTTGTGCCATTTCTTTAACAAAACCGAGCTTCAGAGTTTATTTTGGCTAAAGGTTTAAAATATTACAAAATTGTGATAATTTTCCTTCGGCTTAGTCCCTTATTTATCAGAGGTCACCACAGCAGAATGAACCACCAACTATTCCAGCATATATTTTGCGCAGCGAATGCCCTTTCAGCCGTAACCCAGCATTGGGAAACAACCCATACACTCTTACAGTCATACACACACTCATACAATACGGCCAGTTTAGTTCATCTAATTAATCTATAAGTCTTTGGACTGTGGGGGAAATTGAAGCACATTAAATAAACCCACACAAACACAGGGAGAACATGCAAACTCCACACAGAAATGCCAACTGGTCCAGCTGGGACTCGAATCAGCGACCTTCTTGCTGTGAGGCGTATTAAAATATTTCGCATTCTACCAGTGAAAAATCTGTGCTAAAAAAAGGAAGTGAAGAAATATTTATAATTGCTACTAATAAATAACAGTATGCATAACAGTATAAAGTGTGTATATTTGTTACATTTTGAACATTAACACCTTCATTATTGCATCACTCTTGAAAAATCTGTTACGCTTAAGACTCATTGACTGGCGGGTCAGTTTCCTGGAGTCATATGATCTGAGGACTCGGTATCTTGGGCTTCTTGTTCTAGACACATTGGCTCTGGACTTGGTGATGCTTCCTTAGAATCTGATTGCACCACAAATGTGTGATTTGTGTCGAACTGTTCTGGAGCAGTTTCTTCTATGGTAGTTTGCTCTGCAGTCAGATCTTGAGTCGTTGGTTGTTCTGGGATCACATTATCAGAGCTTGATTGGGCAGTAGTTGTTTGTTCTGGATCTGATGCTAAAGTCATCTCTGCAGTTTTTTGCATTGAGTTTGCTCGTTCTTCAGCAGGTGCTTCCTCTGGATTTTCCATGTCTTGTACTTGACATGTTTGCTCGGGGATCTCTTGGTCTGGATTCTCCAGCTCTAGGGAGTCCTGCTCGCTCGCCATTTTTGCAAACATGCCCTTGTACTTCAGCCTGTCCTCCTCATTTTTTACCTCCATTCTCATTTTGAGAACTGCAAGCTCTTTCTTGATGGTCTTTTTCATACCTGGGTCCAGATCCAACACCCGCATGAAATCATTTCTGGCTTCGGTTTCATCCCAAACCTCCATGTGTGCTTTGCCACGCATATAGAAGGCTTTCATTGTCCCTATAAAACACAGATAAGGCTTTTAGCTACTGGCAAGAAATTATAAATGGTGAAGTAGACACCCAACACAGTGTCAATACTTTTTCTCTCCAAATGTTAACATCACTACTGTATAAATGTTTTAGTACTTGTTTACAATTGAATACTTGTCAGTATTGGTGTTTATTTATTTATTTTGTAATGTTCAGTAATTGTTTTCTGCCATTCTTCCATCTGATTTTTTCTTTTCTGCCTATAAAAATATATAGCCAATGTTGACACCTTATCAGTGGTGAAAACACATAAGTAAAAGTACCATTACTTGCCTAAAAATGTAGTGCAAGTAGAGTAAAAGCATCTTATCTAAAAATTAGCCAAAGGATGAGTAAAACGTCGCCCTTCTAAAAGTACTCAAAAGTATCGAGTATTACGCTGTGAAAATGATTCCACCTTAAGCACTGCACATTAAAAATGTAGCTTACATCTGTGATATTTTCTTTTAAGGGTGTTTCTAACTGTAAATAATTTGCCACCTATAGACTATAAATTTAAAATGGGAGATCAATTTATTGTGAGAACACATTACATTAATGTATGCACCTATAATGAGCTGACAGAAAGCAGGTTCTTGCATTTATATGTTGAGCCAAATCTGTGTATCCTAAAAATCTAAAAAGAAATCGGCAAAAACGTAGCTGTGACAATACTGTATCTTAACACATTATGTACTTTGAACGCTGACTAACAAGCTATGAGTGTCCATCAGTTGGTGCCACAAACCAAGCTTGTGCAGCATTGATAGAATACATGCAATTTCTGAATGTATTTGTAAACGTAACATTCTGTAGTGCGGTCAGTTATTGTTTAAGGTTGTTTGCCGATTTCAGTCATTATACAGTATGCACCCGTCCCTCAGTTGTGTGTAAATTTGTTGGGTGTTCCTGGGCACTCGTAACGCTTCCACACTTTACAGTTTTCCAGCATTTATAGTGTCTGTGTCTTGAAGTTGATCTTTCTGATGCGATTTTTCTATAAGCGATTTGATTTAACTTGAATTATGGGACGGATTATCTCATGAGGAAACATGACTGTTTAATGTTTTGTTAGCTTAGTGGCTAATTCATATGAATTCTTAGAGTTTAGTCGTACAAAAATGTATGATTTTAAAAAGGAGGCGTGGCACCCAACCCCACCTCTAAATCCAACTGTCATTGGGTGATAAGCAAATTTTACGAATGAGACAGTGCGATTTATACAAATTATAGTCACTTAATTAAAAAGGTTGCAAATTGCATCATGTTAAATAAAAAGTACAGATATTTTAAAATGAACTAATTAGCAAGGTACAATTCCTGAAAAAAAAAACTCAATTACAGTCATTTGAGTATTAAATTTGTTACTTTACACCACTGCACCGTGTAGACAACTTACAGTAAATAGGGCACAAATTCAATAGTTTCAATGTCAAATAGAAAAATAGAAAGTACAACAAATTACTTTAAATGCAAATTTAGACACTCTCACTGACGAGTGTATGCACAAAGGGATTAAGAAAAGCCAACAAATTTTTATGACTCATAACTAAGCCCACACGGAATCTGCGTGCACAGAATTCTGCAGATCTTTCGTCCATCATTGATTCTTTTTATTTACTTGTGTAAATGTGTGTAAATTTATATTTATTCAGTTTTTAAATTAATTTCAGGACTATTATTGACTATTAATGATTAATGCACAATAAAGTTTGTAAAGTCTAATTTTCTGTCTTTTAGTAGAGATATTATATAGAGGACTTTGTTTACCAAATAAAGTTGATCAATGTGGATTTGCATTTTAAACATTAAATACAAGTTTGAAAATGTATTACTTATTATTTGTTAAGGTTTTAGTTATAATACTCCCAAAATAATTCCGCATTAATCCGCATATTTTTGATACAATTCTGTGCAGAAATAGTAAAAAATCTTTGCAGATTCCATCTGGCCCTACTCATAACTTTTGGAGGTAAAAGGCTATTTATTTCTAGTGTGCATGTGTCAAACCTCTTTCTCCATGCACGCTAAAAGTATCTAGACATGTGCATAAAAAGAGTTCAGTTTGGACTGCTTACCAGGGTGCTGGTTGATGATGTCACTTGTGTGTTCGATGACCTCATAGTACTCCTCCATGCGCAGCAAACACTGACAGTAATTTAAAGTGAGCGTGTTGGCCATTTTCTCCAGTTTTAGCCAGGGCGCTTCCCATGCCTTTTCCTGAAGAATTCATTGAGATATCTAGCATTTACAATTTCTACACTAAACAAAAATTACATATTTGTTGCAAGCAATTTATATGGGATGAATTTAAACAAATCAAAATGATTAATGTTCATTTGTTAGTTTAAATTCAGCTCATATTAATTGTTTGCCACCATTTAAAAAAAATTTGTAAAACGAATGATTTTTTTTCAGTGTAGGATACAATCACCAGCCACTTTACTAGGTACACCTATCTAAGTGCTTTATATTGCACATTTTAAATCAGCCACTCACATGGCAGCAGCTCTAAGCATTTAGGCATGTAGACATGGTCAAGACGATCTGCTGTAGTTCAAACCGAGCTTCAAAATGGGGAAAAAAGGTGATTTAAGTGACTTTGAATGTGGCATGGATGTTGGTGTCAGACGGTCTGGTCTGAGTATTTCAGAAACTGCTGATCTACTGGGATGTTTTTACGCACAACCATCTCTAGGGTTTGCAGAGAATGGTCCGAAAAAGAAAAAAATATCCAGTAAGTGGCAGTTCTGGCAAATGCCTTGTTGATGCCTGGGGTCAGAGGAGAATGGCCAGACTGGTTTCAGCTGATAGAAAGACAACAGTAACTCAAATAACCACTCGTTACAGTAGAGGTATTCATGGACGTGCAACCGACAAATCTGCAGCAACTACATGATGCTATCATGTCAATATGGACTAAAATCTCTGAGGATTTTCCCAGTACCTTGTTGAATCTATACCATGAAGGATTCAAGTAGCTCTGATGCCAAAAGTGGGTCCAACCTGGTACTAGTAAGGTGTACCTAATAAAGTGGCCTGTGAGTGTATTTTTCAATTTTTCAGCTTTTTCTAAAATCTGCAGACAAATTAACCTAACAACTTGCTGCTTGGCAATTCAATTGTTTTTTCATTTAAAACATAGTACAACTCTATATCTTCCATACCACCAACCCAATACACCTTTGTTACTTATGACTCAAAGATATGCATTACACAATATTTTCTTTAGTAAAACTTAGTCACAAAGTAGTCATTGAATGTATTCTGTGCAAAAAAAAGGGAAAATAATCCCCAGTTTAGCCTGCACAGGCCTATGTGCTATGTAATAGATTCTAGTAATTGTAAAAACTGTATTTTGTCTCGTTATGTAGTCATTTTTAAGCTACCAAGCGTGTTTTAGAGATGTATTCTTACTTTTGACTGTACATTCTTGATGCATATAATGGCTTCTTTATACTTGAGTGTGGCGTCCTCATATCGTCCTTGTTTGAAGAGCTTGTTTCCTTGACCATGGAGGACAGGTACCGCTTTCAGTCTCTCCTCGTCATTCAGAGCCCACGACTCTCTGTCATACTCACTGGGCTGCTGTACCTGGATCCATGATTAATCTGGTATTAAACTTCATTAAAATGTTATATGTCCAGTAAGCATGATAGGCATCTTCTTGTATTAGACTTGTAATAACAGTTTTGAAAATAATCCCATAGCTCCACCTAGTGGTTGTTCCATGACCTGCACCAAGCGCCAAATGCACAGATCAATTTAAGGACACATTTCAGCAAAAATCGTATTGTTGATACACAATTAATCACACATGATGCATATTTGGCGATTAAGTTAATAAATTATTGAGCAGTCCGGAAACAATAATTTCAAAAATACTGAAAATCTGCAAGCTAAAGCAGTGTTGGCTACATAGATGTGGAAAACTCTTGTATGTATTTGTATTTGTACAAAATTTGTATTTTGTATGTAAGTGTTTGCACCAGTCATCCATATTGGAGGCACAGAATGTAAACAATACCACAGAACCAAACTCACACATCTTTTGCAGATATTCATGTTTGTTCTTATCATTAACAGTCAAACAAGTTACAAATTAGTATAATATGTTCATTAATACTACTCATACGTATGTTTTACCATCTAATAAAATATTCACATTTTGTGCTTACAAAATCTTTAACTATAAGATTTTTGCAGCTTCCACCTTCTGCTTTCCAGTGGTTTAGACAGAATAAATAGACAGAACAGCATATTCAGCAGTGTGTAAACCACTGTGCAATCCATGATGATCTGAGTATAACCGAGTATGACCAATCTTGACATTTATGCAAACCTACACTCAAAAAAAAAAAAAAAAAATTAATAAATGAATAAATATATATATATATATATATATATATATTTTTTTTTTTTTTTTTTTTTTTTTTTTTTACTTGTACAAACTACTTTATCAGAATGAGCAGAAACAATACAATTCTTGAGATTTCATTGGGACAACTTTATTTTTTATGTTCAATCTTCATAAATTTGTTAAAAGTGTTAAGTTAACTTGATCAATTTGTGTTTGGACAACATGAATGAATTACGTGCATTTTATTTTTTTACAGTGTATCATAAAGAATGTGTACTTTTGAGAACCAAATTGTAATTTTTCTCAATGAGCTAGAAAGTGATGTTGAATTCAGACCTTGAGAAGCTCCATGACAAAGTACAGCGGCTGTGGTTCCTTCTGGAGCTCGTCCAGATCATCATAGCCCAGGCTGTGGTAGGCGAACATATTGGCCATGCCGCAGGTGTGAATGTGCCAGTCCACTGGATCTTTCCCCACTGCGATACGTCGCAGACTCTTGGCTACTATTGGATACAGCCCAGTGTGCTTTAAAACAAAAATACAGTACACAAAACACTGAAGCAAACTTCTAAACTGTAAAATAAGTCATTGTTTTTAGAGTAAATATGTTCTATATTTGATTAAGTACAAATGTTTCAAGTGCATGCCTTTTTTTTTTTTTTTTGTATCTGATGTGTCCATGACTGTGTGTGTATTAACAGTCTTGGCATTCCCATAATGTTCGAGGCTGTTCAGTAATCTATCTCAGGTGTTGGAGCAGGGGTGGAAGCTGTAAATGTTGATTTTAGCATGTGGAACAGACTCGGATTAATCCTGTTTTGTAAGGATTTAAGCTTTCTGTTGTGCTATAGCGTACAACACACTCCAGTGTGTGTTCCACAACTGTGTGTGACTATAGCGAATCATAAAGGTCAGTGACTGAAATGTCAGTCACCAGGTCTCATCTGAAAGCGTTTACTGTGTAAAGGGTTACTCGGTTACTTCAGCTTTAATTACATAAACACTGTTATGAGGGAGTTTCGTAACGAGTGTCCCGGTATTTGTTAAATAACACAAAAATGTTCCAAGTTGTTTCATATGGTATTTAATGGTTTTAGAAAGTGGCTGTTTGTTTATTACTTGATGTTTTAATGTCTAAAATATTTTCCAATAAAGGCCTCACTTATCCTTTCCAGAGCCTTAATCAAAGTGGAGAAATAGGGTCTTTCTATCTGTTTGTCTTTCTTTCGATAACATTCTATGTCTATTTATCTATCTATCTATCTATCTATCTGTCTGTCTGTCTGTCTGTCTGTCTGTCTGTCTGTCTGTCTGTCTGTCTGTCTGTCTGTCGATATCATTCTATGTCTATTTATCTATTTATCTATCTATCTATCTATCTATCTATCTATCTATCTATCTATCTATCTATCTATCTATCTATCTATCTATCTGTCTATCTGTCTATCTGTCTATCTGTCTGTCTGTCTGTCTGTCTGTCTGTCTGTGTGTCTGTCTATCTATCTATCTATCTATCTATCTATCTATCTATCTATCTATCTATCTATCTATCTATCTATCTATCTGTCTATCTGTCTGTCTGTCTGTCTGTCTGTCTGTCTGTCTGTCTGTCTGTCTGTCTGTCTGTCTGTCTGTCTGTCTGTCTGTCTGTCTGTCTGTCTGTGTGTCTGTCTGTCTGTGTGTCTGTCTATCTATCTATCTATCTATCTATCTATCTATCTATCTATCTATCTATCTATCTATCTATCTATCTATCTATCTATCTATCTATCTATCAGTTGTTCTATGTCTGTCTGTCTGTCTGTCTGTCTGTCTGTCTGTCTGTCTGTCTGTCTGTCGATATCATTCTATGTCTATCTATCTATCTATCTATCTATCTATCTATCTATCTATCTATCTATCTATCTATCTATCTATCTATCTATCTATCTATCTATCTATCTATCTATCAGTTGTTCTATGTCTGTCTGTCTGTCTGTCTGTCTGTCTGTCTGTCTGTCTGTCTGTCTACCTGTCTACCTGATTTAACATTCATAATTACAGGAAATATTACAGTTTTTCTCAGTTGCTTGGTGCATTTCTCACACTATTTACATTTGCACAACAGTTAATGCCTTTCTCAAAACATTTATTATTTTTTGCATATCATAGTAGCAGTTTCTCATTCCTTCCAACAAATTGCAAATTCTTTTGGACATGCATCAATTGCTTTCATAAAACTCTCTGCTGTAATCATAACATTATCATTTCCTTATGTCATGTCAGTCAAAATTAACTAGACTTGTGAATGCTGAATAGTCATTCCATACAAAAATAATAGTCCTCAGTTTATTATTTGAGTCATTGCATACACAAATGTTGAATAGTTGTCAAAATCTGTCAAGCAAATTTTATAAAAAAAAAAATTCCTAAAAATGTCTTCTTTGCTGTAAATAAGATTGTATTTATTCTTTTGCACAATGCTGTGAATAAATCAGAATTGTAAAGAGCAAATGCAGTAAAAATGCGAAACATACATATTCAGTTTCTTGTACTCAGATACCTTTAAATGCAGTGATGTCTAACTTTATTGTAGTCTTGAAATGGCTGTGTAAATAGTATATAGTGCTGTCTAGAGCATTTTCAGGACGTGTTGTTATTGTTGTTAAATAATTGTACAAAATCAAAAGTAGAAAACATTATATTTAACAATTAACATACAATATTTATTTTAAACAGTGCATTATGATTGTTGTTTTACATAGACTTTTTTCATTTATTTATTTACCCTCTCCAGGACATCATGGAGGATGGTGTACTTACGATGACATCACACCAGAACTCAGCCACCTCTCCGATATGCATTGACATGAGCAGCGTCTCCCACACATCCAGCTTAAACATGTTCCCGATCACCATTTCCATGGGCATCCCAGCCTTTTTACTATCATCAATCACGGTACGTTCATCATTGCAGAGCTGTGTGCGGAAATGAAACGTCACCTGTAAGAAACAAGAGAGACATATTTGGATCGTTTTAAATCAGCTGTTTTTTTTTTCACAATTTTTTTTCAATCATCAGTCATTAATGAAATCCTTTATTTACATCGCAAGGTGTTATATATAACCCTTTATACAACAGTTCTGTCTGGTTCTTGAATCTGAGTGGCTGACAGCCATGAAATATTCTGCCAGAGGAACAGGACTCATCCAGCCTCTTAACCCTTCACCCTTGTGTATTACTCCGCCCACATACAGTGACAAGCAGAGGACCCTTTACAGTTTGATAAATATTGCTGCTGTTGGACAACATAATGTACTATTGAGGCTTTTTATCAGTGAATGTAGTTGTTTAGATTGAAACTATGCAGTTTATTTATAAGGATAGTGCCTATTTTAAATATTTATCATTTTTGCAGCAGCCAGTAGCCTGTCTTTGAGCAGACTGTTGATGATGTTCATCCACAAGAGGGTGACAGAGACCACATAATAAGCCCTAAGAGGAAAAACAATATAATTTCAAACTACAACTGATCAAATCATTATTAAACAGGTAAATTATTTTCTAAGTTGATCTCTCTCTTTTGTATGTTGTAGTGCTGTATTTATACCATAGTAATATTGTGATCTCCCGATTGCAGCAGAGAAATACTGGGAGATATCTCTGTTGACTGGGATGGCATTTCATGCCGTTCAGCCTTATAATCTTAAAATGTGAGACATTACGCTAGGGAATCATTTAAATACTAAAGCTCTAAAATGATGTGTTTTGAGCAATTGTTTCTGCTGTTCTGATGTCAGCTTAAAGTGAAGGAATGGCGGAAGAAAGTAGTTCCTCATACAAAACGGTTTTGAGAATCTATGTTTTATTTTCTTTTTTATACACACGATTGTGCTGTCAAACTGTTGTATAAACGCAATATCACACTCAAAACAATGCTATGTGGCTGTATATCGTCAGTGGTGGGACACTAAGGCACGACACTTATCGTACACCTACCAAAAGTGCCGATATACTGCCACATCGCACTGCTGCTCGTGTGATATTGGAAATGTATGACATTAAATCAGAAAGAATTATGATTTTCATAGTTTTAAACAGTTTGTTACTTTTTGTTTTTGGCCTGAGAAAGCTGTTTCCTGCAATGCAGAATGATAAGTTTTAAAAACTCCCTCAGACCACTTGGTTTTCACTTTAAACTTGTTAAAACATGTTTAAAACTGCATATTATGTTGTTTAATTAATCAAAAAAGTGTCTACTTCTTCAAAACAGGCTGTATAATCGCATAGAGGCAACCAATTAATTATATGATGGAAAAAAGTATATGATCCTCAGACACATTTAGACCCATTTTTGACCTTTCTACTGTTCCAAATACAAAGACTAAAAAAAAACGAAAAAAAAAAAAAACATATATATATATATATATATATATATATATATATATATATATATATATATATATATATATATTTATATATATACACACACACACACACACACACACACACAAACAAAATGAACAAGCAGTCAACAACAGCAACAACAAATCTACAAACATCCCCAACACTAATTTCCCTTTTGTGGCTTTAACAGAAGAGACACATACTGTAGCTAACTGTCTGCAATGCAAATATTAAAGTCCTCAAGCGTCACACAAATGCACAGCAAGTGTATGTATAAGGTGTATACACAACTCCAATACAGTAATGACAAATAAATAAATAAATTAATTAATTAATTTAAACCAAAAAATATTTTACAACAATAATACTCACTCACTATTCTTGGGCTTGGTCCCTGAATTTATTAAATTACTTTGTTTAAGGATCATACTTAGACCAAATGAAAATACAAATTAATTGTCGTTTGAAATGTTTATTCTTTGTCAAACCCCTTTGTTTTGCCCTTTTGTCAGCAATGTGTTCATCTTATTTTTAAACAATGTATTTGATCACTTATATTATTATAAATATAATATTATAAATATAATGAATATTAATATTATAAATATATTAAATAGCAGGGGTCAAAAAAGTATATTGTTTTAATTTTACATAAATATATTCCAATGAATGACATTGTTTCACTCAAATTTAGATTTTTGATCTCACTAATGTTATTTGAAACAATATAGTAGATCTATTCAAACAAAAACAGCTGGGTTGTTTTGACTCAAATTTTGTTTAAAACAACCAAGCATTTTTATAGTGTGTTTTTCCTCCATTAATTATGAAACTATTTTCTTAGATGTAATTTGATGCGGACACCAAAACAGTACTTGTCTTTGACCTCTAAATCAGGCTGTACCTTAGTTCCAGTCACAAATTTGGGCTTTGCACCAGTTCCCCCATACAGGATAGTCTTCTTGATCCCCTCAACATCCAGAATCATGCTGTCCTCCATGATGTCTGCAGTGTGTTTGTCTGTTTTTGTGTGACAGCAGAGGTGTAAAGACTGACTGGATCTGGATTAAGAAGGCTGGGATAACAAGATTAGGCCCAACAGCCCCACCTTCTCATCCACAGAAGGGCTTTCCTCAGCATTTTTGCTCTACATCCCTCTCCTAGAACCTTCTGCTCACTCCAACATGGTGGCCCGCAGGAATGCCGAAGAAAAGTATGTGATATAAAGTCAGGAAATGGACTCGACGACCCCATTCACACACATGTGTTGGACAGCTGGATCGCAATGCTGCTGGTGCCGAGCCCCTGCTGAGACAAACGCGTGAAACAGCTCATCTTATTTATGGCATTTAGTTAGACTGTCCTGGATTACGGAAGAGAGACACAAAATTACACGCAATTATGGTTTTTACAAGCCATGTCTGAACATTGTGTACCGGCCAATATCGGAGCCTCTATTAGATATTGGTAAACAGATTGATTTCACGGGACAAACTAATCAAGCTTTTATATTTGGCAATCAAAAGTGTAAAAACACATTTTGGATGGTATTATAGTACTGTAAGGTAAAACAATATGTTGCCGTATAACATATTTTCAATGTCTTAAAGGGATAGTTAATCCTGAAGCTACAAATCTACTAAGCATTTACTAGCCCTGAAGTGGTTCCAAACCTTTATGGGTTTTTTTTTTCTATTGAACACAAAAAGAGATATTTTGAAGAATGTTAGAATCCAGAAGCTATTGACATTCATAGTAAGTCAACGGTTACCAGTTTTCAGCATTCTTGGAACATGCAGCAAGTTCAAAAATGACAGGATAATTTCCTAATTTATTTCCTTATATTTATAAATAAATAGAAAACATTACTTTGAATCGTATTGTTCAATGCTGTGTAATTTTTTTAATTATATTATATTATATTATATTAATTATATTATATTATATTTAATTATATTATATTATATTATATTATATTATATTATTGCAATAAAAACATAATCACATTTATAACAGTGTATAGTTCAATGCTGAATACACTAGTTAAACAGTCTGCCTTTGCTTTGATTCGCTCACCAAAGTCTCTGCATTGTCCTCTATCCGTCAGGTGACAGTATGTACTTTTTAAACTAAATCTGACTTATTGAAACCGCTTAAATTGACATTTTTTCAGTTAGCTTGTTTTGTAGCTTAATAATAAAACAAACAAATAAAATGTTACATAACATTTAAAATGACAATCTCTTTATCATCCCCATCATTCTCCCTCACTTCTCAGATGAGATGGTGGGGCAAATCAAAGCTTACCAGCTTTCGGGCACCTCTGATCTAGATTTATTTAAAACAGCATATCGCCCTCTGCTGGCCACAATCTAGACTTTGAGATCTTACATTGATTTGGCTCTAAATTTAAGGCTTAAATTGGGAGAAAACATTATGATATATTATTTGGTGCTCTAAAACTGCTCTAAAAACACATAAACACATATCTACAATTAAATATAATATGTAGAAATGTAATTCAATCCAATAAAAACTAAAACTCAGGGTGCTGCTTAAAATTATTTAGTTATGACTGTCAAAAAGCAAAAAAGAAACAAATAAATAAATAAAACACTTTATAAATAGCTTCACTGTAAGTTTTAATTTATTGAATTATCATATAATTATAAGGGCATCACGGTGGCGCAGTGGGTAGCATGATCGCCTTACAGCAAGAAGGTTGCTGGTTTGAGCCCTGGCTGGTCAGTTGGCATTTTTGTGTGTTGTTTGCATGTTCTCACCATGAGAGTTGAGTGTTTCCCAGTGTTGGATTGTGGCTGGAAGGGCATCCGCTGTGTAAAAACATAAGTTGGCGGTTCATTCCGCTGTGGCGACCCCTGATAAATAAAGGGACTAAGCCGAAAAGAAAATGAATGAATGAATCATTGAATGATGTATAAAATATTAGTATGCGTCTGGTTCCAGAGATGTTTGATGTTTATTCTGAGTTCTCCTCATAGATGAAAGTTGTAATCTTCTGCTCTCAAGACTTCCAAAAGCTGAATTATCAGAGTGTTGCCATGGGTACAGGCCTGCATCTAGCAAAAAAGCGTTATGGTGTTGTTGGTTGAACTGAAGCGGTTATTTTTATGATTTTTCACACTTGGTGCAGATTTTTTTTATTTTTTTTTTTTGCTAAATTGATATTCAGATGTTATTGTTTTTTGTTTTTTTTTTACGTGTGAAAGAAAATAAAATGACATCATTTTGAGGTTTTTAAGTTTGCCTCAAGTGATATCCTCTGTCCTGATTTTATTCTTATTGGCTAATTGATAATGATACAATAGAGAACTGGTGAATTATAACAACATAAAAGTGAATTAATAATAACCTTATGTGTTTCTGGAGAAGGGCTAAGCAGATTAATATTTCTTGCTTGTAAAAAAAATGTAGTTGATTTGTGGATGTTTTGATGGCTGTATGGTGAATCCTGCGACTACAGTGCGATGGCTGTAAGTGGGTCTGATCTCTGCAGCTTTGTGATTGCTCACCTGCCACAGACGCAGAAGGTCATTAATGATGCTGTAAGTGAGGTTTGGTGTCAGAGTGAGTCATGGAGACTGCGTCAGTTCACCCACGCATGCTGCGTCGTGCAGCCACGTGGAAAACGCCATGTGCAACTATCAAACTAAGCTTTGATTCTGAATTTATAAAGGGATGAGGACATGGAGAAACAGACAAATGAATGATTTGTCTGTGTTAAGCTGAGTGTGGGTTTGTGTGTACTTGTTTATGTGAACAATCATATAATCACATGGGTTGTGCTTTATGAAAATGGTTTACAGGGGCATTCAAAATGATTAAAAATCATACTTAAGAGGTTCTTTTGACATTCAAAATTTGAAGTTTGGGTTTAGGGGTAGGGTGAGGCCATAAGAAGCTATTTTTACAATATAAAATACATTTAGTACATTGATGTCTTTGCAAACTATATATAGAAGTACACACACATGGTTTATGAGGACTCAGCAAATCAGACATAATGTATTTTATACTGTTAAAAACATCTTGTTTATATAGCTTTACCATAACTATACTCCTAAACCCAGCCTTTACAGGACAGGAAACCTGTGACAAAATCTGAATGTCAGAGACCCCATATTACGTATGATTTCTAAGAATTTTGAATTATGAGGACCCAAGGCATGCAAAAACCACTTTAACAGAGCACAAGTTCATAGCCAGTTGTATTCTAGGTCATACCCATCCTACTCTACAATTGTTCTTGTAAACCACATAAACAAGTACACACACACACACACACACATTCTGGTTCATGTGGTTTACAAGGACACACAATTGAACAGTGACATGGGTATGACCACTTCTATTAAACTGTTTAAGTGGTTTATGAGGATGTGCCTTGTGTCCTCATAATTCAAAACTTTAAAATCATTCTAAATGTTTTTTTTTATACTTTCAGATTTTGCCAAAGGGGTTTTCCTGTCCTGTGAAGGCTGACTTTAGAAGTAGGGGTACGGTAAGTCCACAAAAAATGTTATTTGTTTATTTATTTATTATTATTTTTTTAAGTATAAAGTACATCAAAATGTGTCTAATACATTAAGTCCTTGTAAATCATATGGTACGTGTGTGTGTCAGTCGCGTCCTGCCTTGTCATAATACGACCCTCTTTGCTGACCTGACACTACATGAAACTGTAGGACACATCCTGTGTTAGGAAAGGAAGTGGTATCTGAGATGCCATCCCCCTTTAGAGAGCCCATTTTCTGCGGCCTTTTCACACATCCTGTGCTCTGCTTTCGGATGACAGGACACGTGTGTCAGGAACTCTACAGTCACCCATGGTTTACTGAGCCTCCCCCATCACTGCTCCTTTACAACAAATATGACAGACATTGAATAAAGAGTCCTGAACATCCCTGTATAGGAGCTTTTATGCATTTGAGGAACATTTTTGTAGTTATTAAAACTATTGGCAGAAGTACCTGTTTTTTAGCATATTTGCATTAGAACTTGATATGGTTATAGTTCTGAGTGTTGTCTGCCTTTATTGTGATAGGACAAAATGAAGCTGCCCTCAAAGCAAAATTACTCTGGCCCAGCTCTGGCCCACACAATCCGCGTTTGCTTTGCCCAATGCCGCAGTGAATTTCGGTACATGATTGGACCAAGTCTGGCTTCCAGGCAAATCCAAACATGGACCACATCGGGGTCAAGTTTTAGCCAGGTTAATAACCCATAACTGGGCCATTGTCTAGAAACCAAAATCTAGTAGCAACATACAGGAAAGAATAGATTAATAATTCAAACAATTAAATGTTGATTGTTATCTGGATTAAAATGAAGGCATTAGATGATGCAAACAGGAAGATGGAAATGATTTTGTGTATTGAAATATTTATTTTCTCAAAAAAAAAAATTATTAAAAGGATTTAAATGTGGGTCAAGATATTCCTAACTCGCAGGGCTTACAAATAAATTTTTAATATCTGGGGCAGATACTACATTTGACATCTGACCCATGTCTTGTGTGCCGCCTTAAAGACAGCGCCATCTCTGCTAAACCTGGGCCATGTTTGGTCCACATGCTATATGCTGGTGTCAGATGAATGCCTGCTGTGCCAGCTTTATGACAAATCTGGGCCAGAATTCTATGTAACCTGGATGGGGGATGTGAATCGCCAGAAGTTGGACTACATGTTGGCATACTGCCCATGAGGTTATCGGTAAAAACATAAGAACACCTTTTGAGTTGGCATACTTGATGTCTCTGTCAGTTAAGTTGAAGGTGAGAATACAGCCAGGAATAGGGCCCATGGGGAAAATTAGTTCTCTGAGGGAACTATTTAATGGCTAGTTGCTGTAAATGAGTTGCTATAACCTAGGATGACCATATTTTAGTTTTCAAACAAGAGGACAGAGGGGTGGTGGCATTGTAAATACTTGACAAATGTACTCAAAATATTACTGTGTTACTGAACTTTAATTAGCAACATCGTCTTTTCCATTAAACCTTTTGTCCTTAACAATAGAATAAAAATAATAGCCAAACAACAA